CGTTGTTGATGGAAATCACGACTTCCATCGGTTAAGGAAGGCCGTAGGATCGAGATTTCCCCGTCGAACTTGGGAAAGTCCACTGGAGGCCGAGGTGGGGCGGTCCAGTGGTGGTCGTCACTTAGTGGCTCCGAGCAGCAGCGATCTCGAGCCGAGAGAAGCACGTGAGGTGGCTACTTCGCTGAAGAATGGCGACCTCTTTACATTGAAGGAGTCGCCGATGGAGCGTTCATGGTGGTGGTGAGGCTGGATCATCTTGGGTCAGTCGGTGGGCAGCTCGATACCATTGGCAAGGATGTGAGGCTGGCGGTGGGTGAGCGGGGGTTGATGGCGAGGTGGGCTTTGGGTTGGAGTGTGAGCGGAGGTGGAAGAAGATCGCCTGGCTAGGCCGATACCAAGTTGTCAAGGACACAGGCGCCTAGAGTTGGAGGTCCTTGGCTTCTCGATTCCATAGCTTGAACAAGGTAATGGAGGTGCAGGGGTTTTGCACGACTACCACTGACGGGGGATGAGATTAAGAATAGCGAGAGAGAGGAGATTAGGAATAACTTCTTTCTTACTTCCTTCAGCGTCACAGGGGTACATATAGGAGCTCTGCTCCATTGCTACTTGTGCCAGCCCTTAATTGCTAGCTAGGTGGCTAATTAATTCCTTAATCTCTTCAACTTCTACTTAATTACCTTAGAGATGCAGCCCCTCCGGCCGCCTAAGCCTCCTTGGGTTCTTCAGCCATCGCCCCCCTTTGGGAGCTGCCCTGCTTCTACCTCGTGTCCGAGGCCGGCCGGGCTGGCTGTCTTTATTGGCCCCACATGACAACTAGCGGTGAAAAGTGATAACATCATCTACTTGCGCCAAAGTTCTAAGTGGCATCCAGAGATGAGACTTACAATGAGGATGGGCGACTAAGGGGTATTGACCAAGCCATGGTAAGAATATTGACAAGCCCAATGTGGAATAGGGGCTGTCCAAGAATGGCGATAAAGTATTCCTCAACGGCAGCAATCCGACTACAAACTTGCATGTCCATCAAGAGCGAAATCGAGGCAGCCAAGATGCAAATCACATTGGCATGAAGGAATAAACAAAATGTGGTGTAGAAACTTGGACAAGAGAGTAATAAGGAAGATGTGATGCATCGAAGATTTGGAGATGGGATTGTTATAAACCTTGTTACGACAAGAGATGCAGGCTTTTGAGAAAACAGTGGTATCTTTAGACCAACGAAAGCAAATAGGAATATGAATACCAATGTTTTTGTAGGCGCTAGGCGGTTTCTAGGCGGTGACCCATCGCCTAGCGCCTAGGCGCGCGCTAAGCGAGCCTAAGCGTTTCAAGGCGTTTTCTAGGCGTTTTGATAAATTTGCATTCAAGCATGTATAAATTTGAATAAATATATAAATGAAGCTGAAATGCTGAATAAATAGAAGTTCCTCTGACAATAGAAGTGGTATCTTGTGAAAAATAGAAGTTCTAGGGACTAGAATGTAAGAAATCAATAAAAAGGAAATCATAGCAAGAAAATTTCTTTGAAATTTTTACAAAGTGGAGGGCAAAGTCGCAAAATCGCTCGGTCTTATCCACATCTCATCTACGTACCCGAGCAAGTCGTCTTTCTTTCCGTGACCTTCTTCTCCCTTCTTTCCGTGACCTCTCTCTCTCTCTCTCTCGTGGAGGCCGAGTGCAGGCGGGCAAACCCATGAACTCGGCCTCATAATGCGTGCCCGCCTTCGCCTCAGCCCACGCCATCACGACCCAAGGCCCCGCCTTTCCTTTCTACTCCTTCCCTCTCCTTCAAACGGATCTTGATCCCGATGGGATTGGGAGGAGGAGGCCCGGAGGAAGCGGCCCGGCAATGGATCCCGTGGCAGCTCCCTCTCCCAAGTGGCGCGGCTCTGGATCTGGTGGCACGGCGCCTATTCTCCGCTTATCCCCCTAGGCGAGGCGTTACCCCTCCGCCCAGCGCTGAAGCGTGCCTAGGCAAGCGCGGAATCGCGCCTTGTTTTTCATTGATGAATACAATGGAGATAGGCCCAAATTATATCTTCATACAGAAGTACAGACTAGCCAAAAACATTTACATGATACGTCACATGATGAAGAAAAAAAAGAATAGCAAAGTTTACACAGATTTAGAGCATGAGCACGTACAGAGGTCACTATCACATGACTGGCCCCTTCATTAAGGTAAGACATTGCATTCTCCAAATTTATTCCACCTCCAACTTGCAAGCCACCTAGTATGATAGCCCATGTTCATTGCAGTTTGTCATTGATGGCATCTCATGGCTTACAGCAGAAACAAACCATACTAACAGAAGAATCACTAGAAGATGCAAAAGTCTCCATCACAAGAAGGCTGTTGGTTGTGACTGTAGAGAACTAAACGAGCACAGGATTGAGATAATACTTTACCCTGTAATCTCAAAGAAATTAGGGTTTCAACGAAGATAAGTGTAACTGAAGTACATTGAGTATCACCTAATACTACTAGACAAAAGCCATCTACACGGTGGGAGGCTAATATGTTGATGTGTAAATCATCACCAGCCTAGCTTTATATCTACTTTTTGTAGTGGAGGCCTATCGGAAAGGAAATTAACACAATGAACTTAATTGTACAACAAATACCACCTTTCTGTTCAGTAAATTTCATGATCCTGTACAAAGGTCGTATATTTGACAAAATAAGCTCAATTGGTACATAATACAGTTTCTTGGATACCATAAATCGGTATGCATATGCAGAATCATCTTGTATCTAACTCTAACAAAACAAAAAACAGAGTCACCATAATTATTTACGACATACATGTGTTCCACAATTGAAAGACTATATACTTAAATTATTGCGTCGAATACAGATGATGAAAATGAAATAAAAAATCATTTTTATCCATCAGCAGCAGCATTTGATCATGTATGAGTATGACCATGGCTACAATAAATTATGATTAAAAGGGACAAGTAATGCAGCTTATGGTGCTTTGTTAAGAGCAAATTTACTTCCAAGTATGAATAGGATAATAAATCATTTCTATAGGTCTCAAAATTCTACCTGATATTTCGATCTGCTATTTTATAAAATAAATACTTTGATTCTTATGCATTTTAGCATATGCAACATCCAGAGCACCCAATAAGAGACAAGGGCAAACAATAAGTGTTACTACAAATAAGACTAATAAGAGCAAACAGCCAAGCATGAAGAGGCTAACCCAATATTATGGGGCAAAGTCAAAGCGTGGAGGGAGACTAGAGTATTTGGGGGAATTTGATTGTTTGTTCTTTCTTCATTGCTTTCTCCTTGGTACATCACCTCCCTTTATATCGAGAGGACTCCTGGCCACCTAACGAAGGCCAATCAAATCATAACAAATCATATCCAATTCTATCTCTAATTGACCCAAATCTAATCTAATCCTATCTCTAACTGATCAAATCCCTCTAATTGATCCTGTGGCCCCTGGGCCCCTAATTGATGCCCCATAACACCCAATGAGCAATCACAGTTCTTGCAGCAACTAGATAACAAATTCTCACCAGGATACGCATGTAGTGCCTCCAGTGCAGCAGCCTGGCTTGCAGGATCTGCGCCAAGCATTATAACATGTCCTCCAAGAAGTTCATCTTCTTTATATAATTTTGTAAATTCTGCAGGAGATTTGTCTGATTCAAAGTTTGTCACAAGTTCCATGCCATCATTGGATGAATCCCGAAGAGTAGAACCAACAATCTGTTTAACTTTCCCCTGAAAATTTAATAAGATAAACGGTACTTTTACAGCCACAGGTGTGAGGTGTCTGAACTCTGAACTTAGATGACTACTCATTGCCACAATTCGGTAATTTTAGCACCATTAGTACACAGCCTAGTATGACACAACGGGGCACCAATTCACAATCATGTAGAAGTGTAGAGCTGACCATAGTATTTTTTTTATTTTTTTTTCACACACATAAGTATAATATCAGAACAAAGCAAAGGAACCATTTCTATGCACCTTGTGAATGTCGATGCATGGTCTGAAGCTAACGGCGGCGCACACAACAACCCGTCCTCCTGCAGGAATGCACGACCCATTTATCTCAAGGCACAGACGACGGCAAAACGAAGAAGAATACATATACATAGTTACCTACCCGATGCACCGCATTTCACCGGGCGGACCGAAAGCCACGAACCCACCAAGCCACGCCGCGGAGACGGTACCCACGTCGCGCATTTCGACGCCATCCTCCGGCACTGTGGTAAGAAGAGAATGAGAACAAAAGTAAATTAGGAGCGCGAGCAAGCATGCTTGAGCCTCAAGCCACCGATATGCAGACGAGAGGATATAGGGATGAGAGACCACGCTTACCACCACCGTTGCCGCGGCCAGTCAGCGTGATAGGGCAAGAGCTGCAAGGAGGAAAAGAATGGAGGGAACAAGTTCCTCAGTGCTCTCACCAGTTGTGCTCGGCACTTCGGCAGGGGAGGAGAGGGACTCGCGGGCACGGGTCCCTAAGCCGACGGCGCCGCGGTGGACTGCGGCCTCAGAGGCCCCGTCGCACGGGCACTGCCGCACGGGCCGCGGGTGCCTGGCGGCGGCCGGCCGGCAGAAGCAGCCAGCAGGGCGCAGCCGCGCAGGGATCAGGGGCCGGCTGGGCGGCCGGTGGTGGTGGAGGACGGGGACCGCCGGCCGCCGCCGTCAGCGCCAGGAAAGGAGTCGCCGAGTCAGTGGAAGGAAGGAAGCGTCCTCCTAAATTTTTTTTTTTACAGAGTGTTACTGTCATAGTTGGGCTGGGCCAGGTATGGGAGGGCATACCCGTGCAGCCCATTAGGTCCGCCCGTGCCCTAAAAATCAAAGTCTTTTTTTCGACTAGATATATGCGTTGCGCGGGACTAATTGAATAAGACAACGATTTGGTTTTTTTAGTCAATGCATATGTACATATACGATCGTATTTTTTCAGTTATCTTGTAAGGGAAAATGAGTGTACTGACATCACATATCCTCGTGTCAACGTGGCCATGCATCGATGCTGGTCGCCACGCACCGGGTCACCAGCGTCCGGTACTTTTTTTATAGGAATTTTCATTCCATTACTCAACCATGTCGGCTAAATTGCCTGACATCAAAATCATAATACAATTTGGCACACTGGCCAACACTAAGGGCGCTAAATCATGGCTCCTACTCCCTAGAGAAGCAAGCTCATGTGCTACCCTATTACAATCACATGGAGCATATATGACAAGGAAAGATGCAAAATTTTCTACCACCTAATCTTTGAGCTCATGGACTAAACCACCCACCACTGCAAGTCTGAAATCATCACCCTATATTGCCCACACCACCTGTTGTGCATCAGTCTCCAAGATGATATTGTTGACGCCGTGGGATATCGTTGCCTTCACTCCTTCAATGCTTGCAATAAGCTCCATTTGTATCGGATTGATTGCAAACGGCACCCTTCCGGACCGTGATTGAATCACTTCGCCACTTTCATCGCGGATGACATAGCCCCAGCCACCATTTTTATCAGAGTCCCTGAACACGGTCTCATGTTGTTGGAGGCTACTACGCACGAGGTCATATGTTGCTGGACCTAGAGGCGTCGTAAGAGGAGGAGCTGATGCGTAGTATGGTGTAGCCTAGGTGGTGCCACACCGTGAAGCGTTGTGCATTGATAGCCGCGACAAGTGAGCCGTCGCGGCGGTTGCCGTGGAGGTGGTTGTGAAGCGCGCCATGGAGAGCATAAACTCGAACACCAGGATGCGCTCGCCGCGCTCATAACACAAGCCTAGCAGCTGCACCAGGTTGCGGTGGTTCACGTGTAACAGCAACAGAAGCTCCGTGCGAAATGCGAGATCTGCGTCGAAGCGACGCTGCCGACAACCACTGATGCCGCTGCACTTTGGGCGCTTGATGGCCACCTCGCACCTATAGAGGAGCTTGGCGTGGTACACCGACCCGAAGCTGCCGCTCCGAGAACGCGTTGCTGAGGCTTGACCACGCGACAGTTCTAGAAAGACATGAACATTTATTATCTTAAAGATTTTCAAAAAAAAATCAGGGTTTTTTTTCTTTTCTTATTTTTTCACTTTATTTTGGTTATGCTAAAATTTAACTTATGCTGATGCTTATACTAAAATATTGTGAGAGAAAAACAATATTCCATACCTTAAAAGTAGTGCTAAATAAGCTCGAGCGGAAAGAAAAATGCACTTAGCGTCTTCGTCTCCGTCTCTTCCTCTCCCGCACGTTTCTCGGATTTGCGCCGAGGAAGCCCTGCAACACTGCCCCTGTGCCGGCTCCCTTAGCGACAGCCCGGCCTCGCCCGCTACGCAGTTCCGTCCATGCGACGCGCCGTCACCACTGGCCGCGCCTAGGCTCGCTGGCGTTCTCGCTCCCACGGCGTCGCGCTGTCCATCATCTTCGCGCCCGCGGCCGTGCTGAAGGCACGGTCGCTCCTCTCCGGCAGGTCCCGTCCACCGGTCAGTTTGCCTACTTCTAACGCCGCCGTTTGCCGCTAACGCGTTGGGCTCTCGAGGGCATTCCTCTCCCGTGCCGCTCCCGCGGCGTCATGGCATCCATCATCTTCGCGGGACGCAGCCGTTGTTGGCGTAAAGCCCGCCACAGGGGGTTCGCTGGGCCACCGCAGACTGGGCCCTTGAGGCCGGGGGCCCAACCCAAATGTGCAAGTAAGTAGTATTCCCATAGGAACAGCTGAACCAGGCATACTGACTCCGCGTCGATTATGCTCGCCTTCTGCGTTCCCGTGCCCTTCCGCCTCGCGGCCACGACTCCGCCTTCCTGCGCGAGTGAGCGACTCGCCGACTCCCGTGCGAGGCTGTGAGCAACGAACGATCCCATGTGTCTTGGTGATCTCGAGTGCGAGGGGCCGCTGGCCGGCGGCATCCACTTCCGTCTGTTCTTGGCTTCCTGGTCTTCGTATACGGAAGTAAGAATTAAGAAACTGGCCCTAAGTGGCCAAGCCCCCCTAATCAATATTTGTTCTTGTCCCCAATCTGTATTCTTTACTTCTTTAGATTTGGGATTTAGGAATCCCATATGGTGCAGCAACCATCTTGAATTTAGTATGATATATTTTTTAATTACTTACTACTTTTCTAAATTTACAGAAAGATAGTTGCCCAAAAAGCATGCATAAAATGAGAAAAGAAAAAGAAGAGAAAGATAGAAGGCTTGATAGAATCACAGAGAGGATCTATTGATAAATTTTCTAAGAGTAACACAAGCACTACAAGAAATCCAGATAAGTGGGCAATAGTTGCTGTGGATGAAATTGATATTGAGGCCATCATCAATGATTTCGTAACAGTAAATGTTAGAAGAAAATTTTAAGATAAGATAAGATGTATAACTAGTTTCATAAGAATGATTAGTATACATTATATTTATTAGAAACGTCACTATATTATTAGAGTTGTATTAAAGGGTCCATCGTTGTAGCCGCTCCGGGTCTATAAATTGACAGGATCGGGCTGTGAAGGTGCGGTCGTTGAAAGCGGGTCCGCCGAAGCCGATCGTCAAGCGTTGGTCGCCGAGGCGCACGCATGGCGGCTCATGGCGTTCAGCGTCTCGATTTCGCCGTGGACGACGTGTTTGGACTGCCTCAATGAAAAGAACGTGATCGGCAAGGGCGGGATCCGGGATCGTGTACATGGGCGCGATGTCGCCGGGCGCGCGTGGTGGCCGTGAAGCGGCTGCCGGCCATCGAGCGCGCTGGTCGCGGCGCTGGCGACTCACGGCTTCTCGGCGGACGGGCGGAGATACAGGCACTAGGCGCATCACGGCATAAGGCATCGCCACCCTGCTCCCCGACCAGGACCTCGCCGGCTTGCTCTACGACGACTACGGCTTCTCGCTTTCCTGGCGGGACTGCAGGCCGGAGCGGGGCAGCAGACGATAATCATAGGAACTTTTTAGGTGTAGGGCATGCACACTCGTCTATACGAACGCACGTAAGTAAAATCAACATCTTCGAAGACTTAGCTGACAAATCTTCGATATTGACAAAGTTATTACAGGAGCCTCGCTGACGAAAACATCGCCTATGACTGAAAGCACAATGCTGTTAAATCCTGGATTACTCGCTCCCATAAAGAGTTGAACTCAAGACATGAGGTGTTATTGAGGTTCTTGTAACCACTAGACTAGACGGGCCCTTTCGCAAGTATTTATATTTAAAAAACTAGCGGATTGAAATAGAATTTTGAGCTTATAGAAATGATTTATTATCCTGTTCAAACTTGGAAGTAGATTTGCTTTTAACGAAGCACCATAAGCTGCATCATTTGTCCCTTTTAATCATAATTTCTTGTAGTCATGGTCATACATGATCAAATGGTGCTGCTGATAGATGAAAATTATTATTTATTTTATTTTCATCATGTGTATTCAACGCAATAATTTAAGTACATAGTCTTTCAATTGTGGAACACATGTACTCCCTCTGTCCCTAAATATCTGTCGTTTTTGCTTCTTGATAAATAACTTTGACTAAATATATATTAAAAAATATTAATACTTATGGTACATAATTAGTATCATTGAAAAGGTTTTTGAATCTAGTTTTATATAAATTTATTTAGAGATACAAATATTACACGTATTTTCTATAAATCGAGTTAAATTTATAGCATGCACACCAACAGCGATGGTTATTTAGTGATGGAGGGAGTAATCGTAAATATAATAATCATGGTGACTCTAGTTTTTGTTTTGTTAGAGTTAGATACAAGATGATTCTGCATATGCATACCGGTTTATGGTATCCAGGAAACTATATCATGTACCAATTGAGCTTATTTTGGAATTGCGGATCTCATCTCATTGCTTTGCCTATTTGCTGTAGTGAGCTTGGCTTCCTTTTCTGACCAGTTGGTTTGATGGTAACAAAAAGGTATTCATGGATACCCACCTGTTTGATTTTGGTTTTGGTGGTAACAAGAATGTTGTGGAAATGAGCTAGAGTTCAAAGTGTATATGTCATATGATCCTCCATTGAAAACTTGTGCAAAATATCACTTCTTTTGCTATGGCTTGCTTTATTAGCAAAAGTTTTTCAAGAATGACTTAAATTTGACTATGTTTGCACAAATTTTTTGAATAAGACGAGTGGTCATACTTAGGGTCAAAAAAGTCAAACGAAGTTTATGACATGTCTACCTGATGGCCGAGGCAGCGGAGCTCCGCGAAACCCTAGCGTGGCTCAAGGGCGGCCTCC